GATCTCTGTGTCTCACTCAGGGGCTGGAGGAGTGGAAGCTGAGTGAGCTGAGTTAGAGCCTGTAACAGGCTACACAAGGTTGACTTGTACGATGAAACCTCTGTCGTTCAGCTCACACGCTGGGAATATTTTAATTTCAAAATCAGACTTAAGGATCTGTGAAGTGTGCTCTCTCCAAAAATTATTTGTTAATTAGTTTTTAAAGCAGAGAAGGAAATTTTGAAATATTGTGGGGTAAGATATAATAGGGGAGAGGCTCACAAATACACACACCATATATATCTGTATAAATACATCTATATCTATATACATCTGTATATCTGCTATACCCTTCCAGGACAACAAAGGACAGAATCTATCTAATTTCGTGGCAGTATAGAATTCCTTAAATGTACTGTGGGTAAAAAACATTGTTAGAAAGGGTTGTTAGAATATTTTACTACTGCAGAGAGAAATCACAACCAGCAAAGCAGATGTAATGAAAGTTTCCAGCATGACTTTTTTTTTCCTTATAGACACAGTGAAAAATTGTTGCTATTTGAAATAAACTCACTGTTAATGTTTAGCTTCAGATTCTGACCAGAAGAGAGGCATTGCTGTGTGTCTTTTCAGTGCATAACCTCTGATAATTATTGCCTTAGGTGTGATAACTCATATTTAGTGGAGTGAAGTAATGAAAAGATTATATAGCAGATATGCGTCACTTAAGGCAAAATTAAAATTCACTGTCTCTATACAATAAAGTAACTTTCAGTTTTGGAATCTTGTGTGAAAAATGTGTTGTATCATTTTTTACTAATTGCTATTTTCTTATGTGAAGCACATCTTCCTATAAGCATCTAGAAGAAAAGCTGAGAAACTTTTTAGTTATTTCTGAAATATTTTGTGTCTTATCATTAAGATCACTTCTTTCTTCATCCCTGAAGACAAACAGTGGGCAGGGTGAGAAGTCAGGGGAAAATGAAATTTCTGTCATAAGCTTCTAACTCTTGTTTTTATTTCCTAAGGTCAGAATACAGGCCTAGTGATGACTGTAATTTCTGATTAAGGGAACAGTTTTCTAAATGCTTCTGTGTTCATCTTCCTGTGCCTTTAAAAAAATAAAAATTTGAAGCAATAAAATCCCAACAAATGATAAAACAGATATTGAAGGGCAGCAGTGTATCAGTCACAGTCAGTCTGTTGTCCCCTGGGACCTCTTCCAGGTCTGCTCCTTCTCGGTATAAATGAAGTGTTTAGTGCTTCAGTGTTTTACATAATGTTTTCTTGAATGATCTGAAAGGGGAAGTAGAAAGCACATTAGTTACATCTGCAGATGATGCAGAGCCAGAGAGCTACAGCAGCTGTAAGGATGGTGAGAAATTTAAATTCATCTGGGGAGCAGCAAAGTGCAGGAATTTACAAAGCTAAGGAAAAAAAAAAATTAAAATTCACTGTTACAAATTTACAAAATCACCTAGGTAGTGTGATCCAAACCAAAGACGTGCTGCTTGTCAAATTAGCTGAGTGAGGTGTTAATGATGTTTTCTTTCACTCCTGCAGTAAGCAAGAGCTGTTTATCTTGATATCCCACCCAGTTAAATGCTTGTTGTGGTATCCTGATCTTTAACCACTTCCACTGCATCTCCCTGGGACTCTTTGCAGTTTTTTCCCTACTGTGGTTTTGGCGATGAAGGACAAAGAACTGAACCGTTTCTTGCTTTAGTTGCAAGGAAAATCTTAGCAGTGTGTGGGGAAAACATCTCCTTTTTAATGATGCACTTTTCCCCCCCACAACTCTTAATTTTAACAAAATTATGTCTGCGATTTACATGCCAAATTCAGAGTCCTTGGATGTAAAATTGTTTTGTCATCTTCTCCTCAGTCAGATTTCCAGTTGGTGATGCCAGCAGGACTCCAGAGCAGAACTACCCAGAGATTCCTTTTTAATTTAGGTTGTTTTAGCCCTGCTTTGGGAATCCAGTGGAGCTTTTTGGCTTATCAGCCTCTCAGCACCGGGCTCCTGGTGGGGCAAACACCACTCCTGCAATTTGCCGAGATAGCAGCGTTGCTATTGTTAGTGCTGACATCTCTCTGTGTTAAATAGGTGCTGTAAAACAATTCCCTGATGGAGGGAATCTCAAGAATTGAAATAAAACTTCAGGAAAGGAAAGCAAATTTCAATAAAGTTAAGGAAATTTCAAGAAAGGAAAGGAAATTCCAAGAAAGGAAAGGAAATTCCAAGAAAGGAATTTTCATGAAATGGAAGGACGTCTCATGAATGGAAATTTAAGGAAAGGAAATGAAATTTAAAGAAAGGAAAGGAATTTTCAAGAAAATGTGTTTTAGGAAATGAAATTTCAGAGAAAAGAAATTCAGGAAAGGATAGGATTTTCCAGAATAGAAATTTCTCAAAAATTATTTTTCAGAAAAACATTTAGGAAAATATAAAGGAGGGGAGGGGAGGGGAGGGGAGGGGAGGGGAGGGGAGGGGAGGGGAGGGGAGGGGAGGGGAGGGGAGGGGAGGGGAGGGGAGGGGAGGGAAGGGAAGGGAAGGGAAGGGAAGGGAAGGGAAGGGAAGGGAAGGGAAGGGAAGGGAAGGGAAGGGAAGGGAAGGGAAGGGAAGGGAAGGGAAGGGAAGGGAAGGGAAGGGAAGGGAAGGGAAGGGAAGGGAAGGGAAGGGAAGGGAAGGGAAGGGAAGGGAAGGGAAGGGAAGGGAAGGGAAGGGAAGGGAAGGGAAGGGAATGGTTGGATGCTCTGGGATGGAAGGCACCTTAAAGCCCATCCTTTCCACGGGCAGCGACACCTTCCACTAATCCAGGCTGTCACATTAGTTTTTTTTTTTTCAATTAGGGCTGTATCCAAACATTCTGTGTTTTCCTGGAGGTAGCTGCAAATGTGCTCCCCACAGCTATCCTAAATTAGAGATTAGATGGCTGCGGGAGGAGCGGAGATAGAGAAGAACACTTGTTTTCCAGAAAACCTTAGTATTTTTTTCCTTTTTTAGTTGATTTGTCAGCACCTGCATGATAAATTTAAGCCTCCTTGTGATGGGCTTTGCTCTGTTCAGCTGTGTGGGCCTCCTAGAAATGGTCCACAGTTTTCAGTGTCTAAGACACTGAAGCAGAACTGTGAATTTTATTGTGAGAAAGTAGGTAATAGTCAATTGCTTTGCATAAAGCCTGAGCTGAAGGCTAAATTAAAGATTAACCATAATTAATTTCAAACACCTGCAAAGACACATACTCTGTGTCCCTTTAGCAGTGCTGTTTTTGGTTTTTTTAATAATTACAATTGCATTTGGAGTGTCTGCTATGTGTCTGGTGTGATTTGGGTAGCACAGTGGTACCAGGCTTTCAGAATAATTCTACTGCTACTCCCTTTAACCTAGGATTATGAATTTTTCATTCTTTTTATGCAGTGAAAACTGTAATTTGTTTGTCCCAATTAAATATATCTGCCTATACCTGATCTGATCTCACTTGAATATATTAAGGCAGAAGACAAAAATTATGTGCTGCTCTCCTTGCTATTTCCTTCACGGTAGAAGGTTGTGATGCCATTTATCTATGTTACTGTGCCTCTCTATCTCTGTGAATTCTTTATCCAAATAGCATGGTGGTGGCTTGCAAGTGATGAAAAACAGTTTCCTTTACACAAACGTCCATCTTTGTTAATGCTGTCAGACAGCAAGTGTGATATTCAGGGGGTGCACGCCAATCTGTGGGCTACTGATAGTGTAATCTAATTTCCAAAAATAAATTAAAAGCATCTTTTCATCTGTAGCCATCAGATGTAGGCCTGCTAAAGACAACAACACTTTAGAGACAGCACATGTGAATTTGGTGGCTAATTGGAAACTAAACCTTTGGGTTTTCCACTTTTTGCGATAGGCTGACCTTGCTGAAGGAGGTCAGGATGGTATCATGTGTTGTGGCAGAGACTTCCACAGATAAAAGTTCCATGTGGAAGGACTGCTCCTTGTTTTAAACAATGACTTTGAAAGCTTTGTGAGCAGTTCTCACCGAGCCTTTTTCAGCCAAAACTTATGCATGAAGTGAAACTTGCATTTAAGAAAACTAACAAGCAATAGGCATTTTTAAAATATATATCTTTTATGTAATTTTCCATGCCCTCTCAAGTAAAATAGGGGGAAAAAAAACGAATCAAACTGCATTTCTGGCTTTAATAGGTGAGATGCCACAACACAGAGTGAACTCTTCCCTAGTGTGTACCACTTACATTTATGCCTTTTTTTAAGATGTTATAGCTGTGTGTGCATGTTGAAAAAAATGGGCAATATGTCTCTCTTGCCACAGAATTTATGTCAGTCTTTTTGATGAGAAGATGAGAGAGACAACCCCTTCTCCTTCTTCCACTCCCTCAAACTTTTGTGTTGGGTATTAATGTGTCTTCGCATGGTTGTAGCTCACCTGGCACTGCTTTGCGTGGATGGCTGAGCTATTCCTCCTTTAACGTGACAAAAACAACAGTTTTCTGTTGTTTGTCCCAGACCAGGCAGAACAAATGTGTTCAGACCTCCTGTGTATCCTGTACAGCATCCCCATAGCTGAAGAAACACAGCGGTTCATTACGGGTCCTTTAACCTCACTGGCTTGATGAGGCTGTCTGTTTAATTAGAGGAGTCCTTTTAAGATTAAGAACTTTCCTTCTGAACCCTGGAGGTGACATCTTTCTGGCTAGATTTTTCATATTAGCTGCATAAATCACAGAATCATAGAATCTCAGGATATTTGGGGTTGGGAGGGGTGTCTGGAGATGATCTGGTCCATCCCCTGCCGAGTCCTTCTCAACATTGTGGTTCTCTGGGAATAATTACCATGTAGATTATTCCACATATTCCTCCATTCCCTGCATGACAAAACTGTTATCTCCCTTTTAACTGGAGGACTGTAAGGTATTTCTTTTGCTTGTTAAAGATGTATTCAAGTTTACTGGAGCAAAGCCTCGGTGGAGTTTCTTGTACAGTCAAAATAACTCGTTCTTTCCTTGTGTCTCAGTTCAGACTCGGATCTCTGAAGCTGCAGGAAGTCCCAAACCCAGCAGAGGTGATGAAGGAACTCATTGGTTACTGCCTGGACAGCCTGGGAAAGCTGCAGGCCAAAACTGAGGATCTGCAGAGGGAAAATGAAAGGCTTTTCAGCAACTGGAGTGACGTGGAGAAGAGGTCAGTTCCCAGGGGGACTCACAGGTGACACCCGAGTAGCAATGGACAGAAATTTTTATTCATTTGAGACATGTTTTTAGCTCACTTACACACAGCCCATGCAGTTTTCCTCACTTTGACAAAGATGCAACTGATACTAAAAATTTGCAATTAAGGTGGTTTTAGTTTATGAGTTAAGAAAAAACCCCAAACACCTCAGAATCTGTGGAATTAGCTTCACTTTCTTTAGGAAGCCTTTTCATTAATATTATTTCCTGTAATTCTTAGGACTGGCCGTGTAAATTATTTACATTTTTGAGTGGGGAATAAATTACTGTTTCTTTCATCCGTTTTCTTTTTGAAGAAGCCGGAGTTGAAAAATGAGTGCAGTATTATAGGGAAAAGTACCATTATTTTTCAAGAGATTTTTGTAATTGCTGTTGCATTTACAATCTGAGTTGTCTATCATTCTGTAGTGAAATAATCTATGCTCATTTCTGTATTTCTGTTAGCATAGAACTCTTAGTGCAGAGCATTCGGAGATTTATCTTGCTTTTCTGTAGCTTTACCTGAAAAAACACACAATCTAGGAAGATTGATGAAAGAATGCAGCTAATTTGCGTTAATTTACCTTGAAAAAGAGAGACAGCTTTTGGGAGGAGTTAGTTTTGTTTCCCTCTCATTAAAATGAGTAAGAGTTTCTCCTGACAGTCTCCCTGACAAGCTCAGGGCCTCCCTAAGTAGTGTTTTACTGCTTAACAGTGTAATTGAACAATAGTGTATTGTACAACCCGTGTTCTGTACTGCATTACACGCTGATGTGCAAGAGGCATTAGTGCTTGTATCAATTTCCATGGTGGGGTGGCACTTTTACAGAGTAACCCCAAAGAAAAGGAGGGAAAAGAAAACAAAAACAACAGAAGAAAAATCAGAGTTGTGTGACTTTGTTCCCAGGGCGAGCTGGTGGACTTCTTTAGCCTGTTTATAGCTTTTGAGTAGATGAAAAATGGTTTTTCAGAATGTACGCAGAAGGTTTTATGGTCACCAGTCTTTGGCCATGACTGTTAAATGCAGAATAAAAATAATTCAGAAATCATTTTCATTCAGGAAAAATTGGGCTTTTTGGTTTGGTTTTTTTGGGGGATTTTGAGGAGGGTTTTTTGTTTTGTTTTGTTCGGGGTTTTTTTTGTTTTATTTTTGGTTTTTTTAATTTTTTTTTCTTATTTTGTTGTTTTGGTTTTTTAAATTTGGTTTGGTGTGGTGTTTTCTTTTTAATTTTTTTTTGCCACAGCCCTGTTCTACCTTGCCTGCCTCCTTTTGCTGTTTCAGTTCCACGGGCTGCAGAGTTGCCTCGAGCTGAACAAAGCTGTGCCTGTCTTTGTTCGGGAGGCAGGAATTCAGGATTTACATCCTGCACCACTCACGGTGCTGAGTGGTGGAACATCAAATACAGAACTGCAGCCAGCAGCTCCCTCTGCTCACAGCCTCTCTCCTCAGGACTTCCTTGGAATTAAAACATAGCAGGCAGGCTTCTGAGAGCTGCTTTTGTGCCCCTTAGTCCTGGGGCACCGTGGAATTATTCAATAATCCCATTTCCATCTCCCTGTTTGAATTCTGTTGACCATCATGGGGGTTTTGGTGAGCAAGTGGCTGAGTGTGTGTGTCTGTGTGTGCACACCTCAGGGATGGATGAGTTAAAATATCAGAGCAGAATGGCTGTTTTCTTTATTTCATACAGAAAATTCAAGGCCAATTAATTCCAGGCTAGGTTGGGCACTGGGGCTTGGAGCAACCTGGCACAGGGGAAGTTGAACTCGTTGGGCTTTAGGGCCCCTTCAACCCAAACCAATCTGTGATTCCATAATAATTGAGGTGGCAAATTTCAAGTAATAATAACCTGAAGCAAACTAACTCCTTGAACAATAAAAATCCAATTTCTGTTTTGGGCGTGGGGTATGTGTTTTGTTATCGGGCGTCTCAAATTTGTGTAGACAAGCCAAATTCAAAATAGCTGCCAATTTATGTTGTGGTCATCTGCAGTGACAGTATATTTAAACCACAAGCAGATTATAAAAATGCAAGCTAGGTACTTTGGGCTTGAAACTTCAGCATTAGCTCATCAGCATTCCATACCATTGCCAGTGCTGGGGGAAGGGCGAATCTGAAATGCAAGGGAGCAGTGCCATGAGATCCAGGAATTATTTTAGAGCACTGGGAACAGGGATGAATATCAGAGATGCAGAATTCTTTCCTTCATAGAGTTGGATTGTGAATGCTGCCACTAATAATTAAAGAAATGCCATTAAGTTTCATAGCTCACGTTCACCTCTGTAGAGCATGTGTGATTGCTCTGTGCTGGGTCAGCACTTGAAATCTTGGTTTTTTATAGTTAATTTTTCAGTTTATTGTTGGTAATAGTCCCTAACAGTGTCTGGTTTCTAGTGGGCTGTGCAGGACTTTTGATGCCTGTGACCTTGGGTGCATTTTGGCACATGAAAAGCGTTGCAGAGAGAGACCTGAGAGGCACAAATTGGGAGGCACCACTCCAGCAATTAACCCCCACTTGGGTTCATCGTGCTGGGAGCTTGTCTGTGAGGTGAGCAGCACCTCCATTTGGCCTGGGGAGATGTTGTTTGAGGGTCACAGGGCACACTCAGGCAGCACCACGTGAGGAATGGCAATTAAAGTTTGTGTTTGCAGCCACTGAGGTATTGGAATGAAACCCAGCCAGCTCTGCTCTGTGCTCAGGTGGTGAATCCAGAAGTTCCACAGAGCCACCCCACCTGCCCAATTAATGCATCTCTGTCCCCAAGACCATTGCCTTTTACCAGTCTCCTTTAAAATATCAGATATGCCATAAAATAGTGTATTTTAAAGGCTCATAAGTTGCAAGTCCAGCATTAATGTGATGCTTTTGTGATATTCAGTGTTTTGCCAAATTAATGCCATTCTGTGTCTGGGGGATGTATTTGGATATGGATAGCCTTGAATAATGGGGAAAAAAATAACAAAAAAAGGTGTTAATGTAAATGAAAACAATCATATAAGATTAACTGATGACATACTACTAATTGGTTCTGCCCAGAGGGAAAAGTTAATATTCTAGTTCTCATATTCAAGATGCTAATTTTTTTTTTCTCCAGAGACTAAAGAAATTGGCTAGTCTTGCAGTTGGTTTCTCCACTGTACTACTCACAGTCCAGGCAGCATCAGCTTCACTTCACTGGAAGTTTCCATTTACGTGGATTTTCATCAGGGGGTGTCTTTGCAGCACTCAAGGGCCTCACTGAAGTAATCTTAAGTGGCACTTTTTTGGCCAATTTAGCCACATTTCTCAATATTTGAACCAGTCTCAACTGCTCCAACACAAACCAGTGCCTTGTCAAAGTAAAGGCAGAGAGCAACCACTTTCCCTGGTTTGTGTGTGGGAGAGGGGATTATTCTACAGGATTTGATACAGACAAGATTAGCGTATTTTAGACAAAATCCTTTTCCCCCCTCATTTTTACGTATACAGAAATAATTAGCATCAAGCATGTCCACGCTCTTCTGGGCCCTGCATTAGGGTTTGTGGTTCTTTGTGAATTGTCTATTTATTCCCCACTAAACAGTTAACTTCCCTTTTGCAGGTGGAAAGTCTCCTGATAGTTGATTAGTACCTATGATCTTTCATTTAGGACTTATTGAACTGATCTGTATGGTAATGATGTTCTGCTATTTGCATTTAAATTAGATGAATTATTTATCAACTATCAAGCATATCCCTAAAGCATTGAACAGTAGGCTTAATACTTCATGAGATTTCGCACATTTCACCACAACATAAAAATTGTGAGGGTTTTTTTTTTTTTTTTTGCTATTGTCTTGCTTCCTACATCATATATGGTTTTGATCTGTGAACAAAATAATTAGTACTTATGTAGGAAGTCTGTTGAAATATCTTGCCTTAAAAATTAATATTTTTAAAGTCTGTTTCATATCTGGGTTTATTAGCATAATAAGCCTTCTAAACCTTTTTACAGCTTTGCACAGGCTAGTGAAAAAAATGTTTTTAACTTACGTCGATTTATATTTACCATGATAAGTAGGTTTATCAAGATGTTTATTTGTTTCTTGTGTACACAGCTGATAAAATGTTTGTAGTTCAACCCAAGGACTGAAAAGTTATGAAATTCAAAATTAAATATTAGAATATATAGAATTACATCTTCCAAAAATCACTTGATTCGTTCTGCTCAGGTTTGCTTGTATTCCAGTTTTCCTTATGAGACTTTATGCACCCATATTCTTCATTTAATACTGCCATTGTGCTTCCTTTTATTGACATTCATCTACCCACATGGATGAATACTAAATTTTTTTTTTTTAAACCCGAAGTATATTTTCCTCTGAAGATTTTAAGAGCTTCTAAGCATTTTTATATTTATATTATATTTATATTTTGGAATTTTCTTTTCCTCGTCAAATATATTTCACACCAATGTGTGGTCCAGATTTGAAACCTGTCAAGGTGAATCATATCTGTTTATAATCTCATTATGTGCATCCTCCTAAGGTATGCCCACTGTTGTGATTAACCATTGAAAATAAAGAACGTTTGACTGTTTAAATTTTAGTTGTCTCGGGCAGAGGTGTTCAAGAACCTACTGAAAAAAAAAAATCATTAAGAGAAAGGTTCACATCTGGTAACTTTTCTCTTTTGGAAGCAGAGTTCATTGCACTTCTCTGTGGAAAAGCAACAACAAAAAAAAGCTTATTCTGGCCTGTTTCAGACACAAAGTGCTGGACCAGTCGTGTGTGGTTTGGAGTGGGGATTTCTGGCTGGGCTCACAGCAGAGTTGTCTTCTAGGAAACAGAAGAATTGGTGTAACAGTTAATTTTGTGCTGCAGGCTGGAAAAATGCGTGGAAGCTAAAGAGGATCTGGAGGCAGACCTTTACAGCAGGTTTGTTTTGGTGCTGAACGAAAAGAAGGCAAAGATAAGAAACTTGCAGAAGTTGTTGAGTGAAGCTAAAGAATCTGCAGTGGATGCCAAATGCTCAAGGTATTTAATTTCCCTGGTGTGGTGCATATCTGAGTTTAGCTTAGTTCAGTTGCCATTTCCTTGGCCCTGACAGTGAGTGACAGTTCTTCCTGGCTGGGTGCTGGGTTATCCAAACCAATCCTGGAAGCCGTGGAAGAGGAAGATTCTTTCTGGCATCCTTGCAAGCAGCAGCATATTGCTGTGGGTGCTGTTGCCAAGAAGATGGATCTGTCCTGCTTTTGGCTTTGGGCTGCAATTGATTTTCCCATAAAATCATGTCCCTGCCTTTTCCATAGGTGGCGATTCCATACATATTCTCCCTGAATTATTTAATCCCTTTGAGAGACAAAAATACCTTAATTCCTTTCCCTTTCTTTTGATGTTTTTTAGGGATAGTATAGCTACTACTCAGATGGTTGTAAAGAAAGAAAACAACTATGATGCCAGCACTGATGAGGAAAGTGAAAATCCAGCACGGGCCTCGCTGCCATCAGGTAAGACAGAAAGTATTGTCTTTGTGTTAGCTTTGTGTGAAAAAAACCCTAAGGAAGGCAAAATACTACCTGACAGATTGCTCAGTGACAAGCCAGCCAGCAGGCCTTAAAAATACCTCTCCTGGAGCAGAGTACAATACTGGCATTTTCAAATTAGAGAGGGGAGGTTTAAAAGCATGTTGCACGAGTGAAGGCACTGTCATTTCTGGCAAAGTGACAAATTACACACTTTGCAGAGCTAATGACAGTCTAACAGTATCTGAACCATCAACAATTCCATTTTAAATTCTAGTATTCATGATGTGCGTGCCGTGATTGATAAAGTGTCAGAGGTAGCTCCTGACAGTTTCAATAGTGTTTAAAAAGGGGAAAGAGAGGAGGTTTAACAGCTATAAAAAGAGCTGTGTGCATAAATGGAATGAAAGTGTATTTATAGCAGAATCCACTTTAATTTGTCAAAGAATTTTTGGCCTTGTGAAGATGCTCGTGAAACTTAATCTGATGAATTTTTCCAGGACTAGAGCCTTGTAAAGTGTGTGGGATGCAGTGATGGCCCATTATACAGAACAAAATATTTAACTGTGATTCAGAATTTTGGCATGTTTGTGATAAACTAGTGGGAATACCCGGGGTAAATGCTATCAAAGTTTCAAAACTGCATTGATAGTTGCAATATGGTTTATATGTGTGTGTAGATATGTACAGGTATGTGTATAAAAATAGATACATAAACTTCCCTTCAGGTCTGCAAAGATTGCTGTGGGTTCTCTCACTGGGGCTTTTTACTTCCAGCACAGGTAAAGGTAATCCAGACAACAATGTGTTCCTGTAAAACAGCAATTTTCTGTGCACGTGGGGAACTGGAAGAGTTCAGGACCCTGTTGCCAGTGGCAAACAGCTTTGTCACTTGTGTGGGCCTGTTTGCTGGGGAATTTCTGGCTTTTATATAAAGTAGGCAGAGCTCAGACAAGTGGAAGAAATTGTGATCACAGAAATAAATAACTTAATGCTGCACTGTGCTCTCCAGAGGTCTTTGCTGTCAGGTGGTGATTGTTCAGTTCATGTAACATGATGAGAAATTTGTTTTGTGGAAAGGCAAGGAAAAGTGGAAGGTATGGAGTCTTCTAAATTCAGTGGGGCCTAACTATCTCAGTGAGAGTTTTGAGACACAGATATATATTTAATATTGAAAACAATACCCACTGTCCCTGCACTGCAATTATGAGGGACTGGACTGGAAAATAAACCAGCTGTGTTTTTATTTGACAAAAAATGCACTTTCTTTTGTCTTTGAGGCATGCAGTCCTCAGGGTTTTGGTCCTGACTGGAAGAGCTCAGATGCAAAATTTGCAGATAACTTTTTTTAACCATAAAGTTAATGCTCTGGGTAACACTCGAGTTTTTCAAGGCAGTGGCACTGCTGAGCCCTCACAGTGAATATCCCTGAGGTCACTTGGTGCTCTTCCTGTGTGCAGAACTCTCTCTTCCAGTGAACAATGGGAAAGCACAGCTGGGTGCTGAATATCTGAAGTCTTTCCTAGAATTTTAACACTCAAAAAGAGGCAGACCATGTCTTTCTGGGGAAAATAGTGATTCAGGGATGAGTAGAATGAAGCTACACGAAGCATCAAGAACTGTAAGACTTAAAAGATAAGTCATAATATTGGGTGATTTTTTTTCTGTTTATCTTAGTTCTCCTATATCCTAGACCATAATTTTATTTCTTTCCATTTTGGACTTGAAATGTCATTGCAGGAGTCAATGAGAAGTAGAAGATCATTGAGGTAGTTTTAGTAGATATTGGTGAAACCCACAATCAAGAGAGAAGATCATAATTTAAAAATTTCTTTGAAGAAAAGTGAAGGCAGGTGTGTGTATGCACCCACAGATGTACAGTAAAAGTGCATTTGTATATGTGCCTGTCCAAATAATTCACTATTTAGTGAAAGGGCAGCAGTGCTCAGCAGGTGATTGGGTTTGTGTTGGGAGGGGAAAACTTATGGTGGTTCCATCACAAGATAATTCTGCTCTAGCAGCTCATGGGGATGTTACACAGAAGCTATGGAATCCAGACAAAATAATTTTCAAAATCATCATCATTAGCAAAATCAGAAAAAAAAAAAATAGTATTTGTTGAATTGCAGAGTTTAAAATTCTGTCTGAAGGTTTTCCTTAATCACCAATAATTGTTCTTCTCTCTGAATTTTTGGGACACTCAAATCCCAGGGTATTTCAGTGGATATGGAAGAAAAACCTGCTGATGTTTATTAAAAGAAAATTGAATTACTTATTTAGTTTTCAGCCAGGTGTTGATCTCATGCAAATATTGTAACAACCCCCAATGAAGAAAAATATTAAGAAAATTAGTAAGATTGATTAATTGCAATCTTTTTAAGGGGCAGAATCTGGAGCCTAAAAGTTAACCTAAATTTTCTAATTTTTTTTTTTTTTTTGGCATTTCCGGTACTCTTTGTAGGTTTGATTTATGGTTTGATTTCTCACAACAGTTTCTGCTTCATAGCTTAAAGCAAAGATCAGCTGAAACATGGTAGTGTTTTCCTTGCCTACACACTGATGTAGTTAATGCTTTATATTGTAAAGAGAGAAATTAAAATTGAATTAGTAAGTATTTCAAATCACTCAGAAAAATGGCTGATGAGAATTACACCCCTTAGAAATAACACAATGTTCATAAATAATAATACATTTATAAATAATACTGTGCCCACAGGGGTGAGTGGGTGACTCAGCGTGGTGCCACCACACTAAAGCAAGATATTTCTGTCATTTTAGGATACAAAAACACTAATTCTGGTTAAGACAACCCACCTGTTACAGACTCCTCTTTCTTCCCCTCTGCACTGAATTTTACTGGTTTTGTTTACTGAGCCCTTCCTCCTAGGGATCCTGAAATTACTATATCAGGCTGATAAATCATAATTTGATGTCATGGTCAGAAATAATGGTTTTGCTCTGCAAATCAACTCCTTTTATTAGTGAAAAATTTTCTAGTGGTCCACGTTGTCAGGAGGCTTTTAAAGCAGGAGCAAGGATGGGATAAATGTTCCACCTCTCTGCTGCCTTCCCAGGAGCTTGAAAGGTAGATGGAAGGTCACAGTTTACTATTCACATTGCCTGGAAAGTGACCAGAAAATAGAATATTATTCCTCCTCCCAGGTATATTACAAAACTGCAGGGAAGTATTTAATTATTGCAATCTATTGTAGATACGAAGGATAACATAGCAGGTGGGACGTAGGCAATGGAAGAAATTGTTTTATGATTTATTGCTGCTATTTTCAGTTATAAATGCTATTAGATGTGTCTGCCTCTGGACAAAACAAGGCTGCTGTGCACCAATTTACAGTCAGATTGCATCCTGGTTTATTTTCTCTTGTCCCTGAATTCTTTAGTTATATTTCACATTGTAATTGGTAGGAGTTACCTCTCCTTAGGGTAAGGAGGGATGTCATGATCAAATAAAATTTTATGGTCTGTGTTTCTTGCCGAGGTATGAGGAAATATTCCACATTTCCCCAGACATTCAGTGCCCACACTTTTCTGCATGTTTGATGATGAGGACAGGTTCAGAATTGGTTGTATTAAAATCTCTGCAGAGCCCACAGTAAATAAGAGCAGCACCTTGCCATCTCCCACTGCCTCACCATGCAAATGTTCTCACCCCTTCCATCCCAGCTCCTGCCTTGGGGACTGTGTGTTGTGCCCTCAGGACTTTGTGGCACTTTAAATTTAATTAGCTCTCCTGTGTAGCCCAATCCACTGATGGCTTGGTGCTGCTGGTTAATAGGCTTTGATCAAAGTTAATAATAATAAAAAAAGCCTGTTGTAACAGCACACGGCTTTGCTGTGCAGTTAAAGTCCCATCTGTGAAGGCTTCTCTTTAAAAGTCTGTTTTTAAGGAGTTTTAGCCATTTTAATTTGCCTTGGGTTTAAATTATTTCTCTTTTTGTCAGGCTGTAATTGAAAATGGTTCATCCTAAGGAATAACCTCGTTTCCCTTTCCCTTGAAGCTGGAGATACTTTTTCTTTTCTTCTCCCTGAAATCTGATACTCATTTTTTTCCCCCACAACCTGATGGGCTTATGCCTCTGAAATACTTGTGGTTGCCAAACTAGTTTCCCTCTGTGTTACACCAGGTGTCATGGTCAAAATACATTTACAGTACAAGTATCAAGATGTTCCGTGCCCCTTTAAAAATCCTGTTGTGAGCGTTGCACTAAGAGGAATTTAAAACACATTACTTAGTCATTTTTCTATTAAAATTATCAGAATTGCTTATATCTCTGCATATTCTCATACACATCTTCTTTCTGTTCCTGCTCCAGGATTTAAAATGGATGGAGCTGAATGTGGTTGCCCCAAAATGAGTCATTATTCAATGAAATTCTAAAATCGACAGAGTCCAATTTATGCTTTGCTAAGATAGTTGAAAGTTTAGTGATTGATCCAAAAAATTAGAGCAGCTAATGATCACACTGCACAGTTAGGTGCAACAACATTGATTAATGTAAATTTTTAAAATGTTTGTTGTTTTATTATCCACATACTACTAAATGTTACACATGAAAGAACTTTTATTTCTTTGGTGAGTTGTAAGATGTTTTCAAGTGCTGTTTAATTTCTGCATAAATCATCAAATTAACTGCCTTTAATATATTTAAGTTAAATTGTAAGACCCTTATTTTAGAATAATTTTCAGGCCAAGCTGTTGATTACAAGCTTGATGCATACCCATGAATCCAGTGTTGTTTTATTTTTTTTCTCTTCTCCTCAACTGAAAAAACAAGTTAATTTCAACAGTTCATCAATGGTGCTTTGAACATAGTGAGCAGGTGAGCAGGAAACTCCTGCCAGGGGTAATCCCCATTCCAGGTTCTGTTTCTCCAATCCACAGTCCCTGCATTTGTTTAGCACCCAGGATAAGGGTTCCTTTGGGATCTGGCAGGGATTATTTTTGTTACACCAAATTATTCTTCAAT